ATCTCCCAAAAAGTGGAAGACAACGTGCACTTACTACACAGAGGTCAGAGATATTGGCGAGAAGAGCAAAAGAAGAGAAAAAAAGCAGGTTGTAATGTCAACAAGGAGACTAGCTCATCAATACAGATCTGCTAAGAGTAAGATATCGTTGAAATTGCGGGGGAATGGTCTTAAATACCGAAAGAGACTTAAGTGCTCCAAATAATCTTAAGCGCAACTCCTTCGTATACCAAGATTATGTCGTCAACGAAGGCATGTACACTTTGCCAATGGAAAAATCATCATTTTAGATGACAAAAAGTATTTCACTTTGAGTAATTCTGAAATGATGGGAAACGACGAATTTTGTATGGACAACGTGGAGGCATGTCCTAAAAATGATAGATACAAACATAAAGCAAAATTTGCAGATAAAATCCTTGTTTGGTGCGAAATTTCCAGCAGGGGTGTATCCCATCCTTTTGTGGAAAGAGTGAGGGGTGCAGCAGTGAATAGTCAGAGCTATATTGATAACTGCCTTTTCAAATTGCTTTAGTTTGTCCACGGACGGCATGCTAATAACCATATCATGCTTTGGCCAGACCTAGCATCATACCATTACTCAAGATTTATCCAAATACACGACAACACAACATACTTTTTGTTCCCAAAACCGATATTTCTCCAAACTTGCGGCAGGCTCGCCCAATAGAACATTTTGACTCCACATAATTCGATAGTATAGTTTAGTTAAGTATTGAGTTGTAATTTATGATGACTAGTTAGTGTTTTGATAAATTTCTTTATTATTTTCGACGCACCTATTATATTTCAAACATCATCGATATCCCATAACACTTACTCTTTATAAGTAGATAGATGCTGTTTGACTTGCGGCGAAACTTTATATGCAAGGTAAGTATAATGCCAAGCTCAAAAAAGTTTTGGAAGACGATCCAATTCTGCAGAGGAAAGACAGATTCAGGGCGTACCTAGATATTTTTCGATATTTTATCTTGATGGCGTGTGATATTTTTGAATTACCCGTACTTAGGCGACTTCAACACTGCCGTTTTAGCGCGTAATGAAAAATTATTGGTCCAAGAATACTATAACCAGGCTTCCGATTCAGTTTGTGTATTACCGTGCTATTACAACGGCTCCTCAGAGCAAAGTAGATTGCCAATTCCATTTGTATATACGAAAAAAACGTGACGTCAACAGAATTGAAAGCAGATCGATATATTGCTATTGTACCTATTTCCTTCTCGCGTGAGTGGGTAACGTCAAGCAGTAAGTTTACTGATTCAACAGTCGTTTCGAGAGCAGACTTTTTTATCCTGCTATAAATAACTAACCGAAAAACCAAAACCTTGAAGCAGTCCAAGGGGCGGGGTACTTACTGTATTACTAAATTATTCATAGTAATATCGATCATGCTACTAATATAGATTCTGATTACCGGATACTTCTGACAATCATCTGTTTCCGCTGTTATAGATATGGATTCAGATACATTATGGACGTTTTTAGTAAAACATTTTGTTATTAGAAATAAGACGGTACAAAGTGCAATTTATAACCCGAATCGTCCACTGCGAGAGTGAAAACAGCAAGCTGTCTTTTGGTACTGTATCAAATTTCGGATTTTCAGATAACTCATCAGTGTGGTCGCTAAAGATCCTGCCGATTCTGGTGCACGTGTACGAGTAGATTCAGCCTACTCGCCGTTGGATAAAATACTAGTAATATAGCTTTCGACCAGAGACGGCCAACCGTAAATAGCTGTTTTGTGCTATTTGGCAAGATCTAGGCCTGTTGCCACATAGGACAATGAGCGAAAGCTATCCTCTATCCAGAGATGGCAGTTTGTGCTGCCTTATTTCGATAAACTTTATACTTTTAATAGGGGATAGTTACTCAGTTTTCGTTCGTTCTTCTATCTGAGACCAAGGTTGTTCCATGCTGAGGAGTTGCAGAATCGCAGGAAACAGTTGTCCATGGCTGGCCGTCTGTGTTCCTATGAACGACAGCTATAGCTACACAGCTCTACAGCGTGTCTGAGATTCGCTTCTCTTTACAGCGATCGCGGCTCCTGTTATGCCTGAAGCAAAGATTGAAAGAAGAATGTTTTAGAGGAAACTTAGTGCATTCAATAGCCAGCTTCAGATTTACGATCGTTCAGTTGGTTTTGAAAATATCAGCGAAAAACCGAAAATGGCGGAATTAGTTTTTTGTCATTAAATCCAAAACGGCTAAATTGACATCAGTCAAAATGGGACGTTATTTAAACATTTTATAAGAAAAATAAGATAGCATGTAAGTATGACATGTTTCAATCGTTTTTTTTTTCAGCAACCCGCCTCAACTTTCACTTTTCTTATGGGCGCCATATTGGATTTTTTGTTTTTTGAGGAGTGTAAAATTTCCAATATAGTGATGTCTCACAAATGCGTAGAAGATTGAAGTATCTCCGAAATATCATCACACATAATGTTCGGTATTGGTTTTTTTCTCAGGAGGCCTTGATTTTATTTGTCAGAAGATGACATTAATGAGTGAGGCACAAAAAAACACACCTTGAATTTTCAATAAAATATTAGCTTTAATATCGACTTCTCAACAAGTCAAATGTTTTGGGACAAATTCCCAACTATGAGTGTGTTAAAAAACAAGTCGTGAATTTATTTTACACTTTAGCAAACATTTTACAAAACTGTAATGTAAAATCTAATCATGTAAGTGGGTATTAATTCACAAGCTTGCAAAATAACGTCCATTTGCGTGCAGTCTTTTTGGCAACTGGTGACTGGTTTTCGTAAAACCTTAGCTAGTGTATTTCTGTTATAATGTTTCTAACTGTACTCAAATATTCTTTGTCTCCGGATTTCTATGATCGCGGGGAGATCAAATTACTATGACCTCATTCTTTGTGTGACCCCAGAGTTACTAATCCAAGGCTGAAGGGTCAGGCGATCTAGTAGGCCAAGATATGGAACCATTTAATGAAACTATTCTTCCATCAAACTGCTCTCTTAAGAAGTTCTTGACTTCAATGGTGCTGTGAGCCGGACATCCATCCTGTTGAAACCAGGTTCTACTAAACTCATCTTCGGTTAGACTAGCTCATAAAGCCGGTACAGCCTGGTTTCGCAAAAGCTCTAGGTACCTCTGTTTAGTCATACAAAGATGGTCCTGTCGATTTCCTAAAATAATTAATACCTAATTCTATGTAGGTGCCCAATTAAAAAAGGTGAGTTTTAAATTGAATTACCAATGACCCCACTCCAAATGTTAGTTCCAAATCTGGTCTGTAGGCGTCTCTCTGCCGCTTCGTGGAGGTTTTCCACCGCCCAGTGATGAGTATTGTGTTTATTACAAACTCCACAATTCGTAAACTTATTCTTATCGGACCACAACACATGATTCACAGAATCGGGATTTTCATTAGACTTCCTAGTATACCACTCACAGAAGCGCATTTGACTTGGAAAATCAGTTTCCTTAAATCCTTGAACTATTGTAGGTTTATATGGATGGTATTTATTCTTATTTAACACTCTGTGTACCGTTGATTTTGACACACCAATTTCTCGATCTTTAATTCTTACTGTTGCACTAGGGATATCGTTGACAGCTTGTAAAATGTTTCTGTCACGTTTCTCATTTTCAGTATTGTATCTAGGTTGCTCGGAGACCCCCATTTATTAGATTACCTACTGTTTTTCTAAATTGGGTTTTATGAGGCTGCCGTCGTGCGGGGTACATCTCCTAGTACCTTGCTGACGTAATGTCGGCGCTTCTGTGTGACTGCAAGTATAGCGCTAATATGTCAAACATTTCTTCAATTGAGTAGGGAATACCGGCCATTTTCAACAGGCTTTGACATGTTTCTTTTCAGATTTATGATTTTAATGAGGACAAACGTATCTACTGTTTATTAAAATACAATTTTAATTCTTTGAATTATTTAACGTCAAAGATGAAAAATGCGTTACATATTAATTTTATCTTCTGACAATTAAATCAAGGCATCCTTGAAAAAAATTCTACCAATATTACGTGTGATAATATCTCGACGATACTTCAGCCTTTTTGCACTTGTGAGACATCACTAGGCTGAAAATGTTACGCTCTTTCCAAAAATCCAATATTGCTGCCATAAGCAAAATGAAAGTTGAGGCAGGTTGCGGGAAAACAAAAGACGATTGAGAAATTTCATACACGCTATCTGATTTGCCTTGAAAAAATGTCCGAATAATTTCACATTTTGACAGCTGTCAAATTAACCGTTTCGGATTTACTGGTAAAAACAAAATTCGACGTTTTCGGTTTTTCGCTGATATTTTCAAAACCAATTGAACATTCGTAAATCTGATACCGGCTATCGAATGCACTAAGTTTCCTCTAAACCTTTCCCCATTTAACCTTTGCTGTAGGTATAACAAGAGCCAAGGTCCCTTTTTAGAGAAGCGAACAAGGGACACACTGTATAGCTATAGACTATACATTGAGGAAAGAATTTATTTGAACCAACTGAAATTTTAATTGAGCCAATTAAAACATTTAATTAAGCATGTGTCAGCTAACTAGCTTAACCCAGTTAATTAATCTCCGATTTCTAAAGCGGCTTACTTGACTACTATGAAACTCATTTAATGAAAATAAATCGTTTAATTAAATCAAGCCGTTTACTTAGATTGGACACACCAATTCGTTTCGAATGGATCAACTAATAAAATAGGGTCAGCGGTTCCGAGGAAACAATTCCAATATATCTGTACCCGCGAGGTAAACAGTCGTAAGTCACTTTTACCCAATATGGAGTTAGTTCTATTACTAAACTACGCTCTCTCAACTTGCTATTGTGGCAAAAAATCGTGAGTCACGAATCACTGGTTGCCTATATTTTTAGTTTTGAAAACATAGTATGTCCATTTATGAACTAGATAAAGAAACGTATGTCCACATAAGGTTAGTTCTTATGTATTAGACACACAAACTGTCAAGCAGTAAACAATAGTAGGTCCACGTCAACGTGACGCGTATGCAGGCTTGTTGTTACATTGTTCCAATTAAAGATGGAAAGTGATAAAAGGAACGATGTTTTAAGAAAAATTGTTAGCCAGAGAGCCTGTTTCATAATGGACCAAGTGAAAGTAACAAATAATAGCGGCAAAGGTAAGCAATAGAATATTATAAAAGTGAGGTTATGCCTCAAGGCCGTTAAGCCAGATTTACCGTATTTAGCTGTTAAGCATATTGATAAAAGAATTTAAGGTAGTTATAACTTTCATTTCGAATACTGTGCTATTATCGAAGTAACTTATGAGCGCTTTCATGAGTGTAGTAAGATAAATCAATTTTTCATATATAAGGCTTATAGCTAACTTAGTAATCTTATAGTTCCAGATCAGCCGTCTACTTCGAGGTGTTGTCCTGTTGGATGTGTTGAAGATAGTGATGATAGTTACAAGGATCCAAACTACTGCCCAAGTAGCGACGCTAGTGACGATAAGGAAGAATTTCTAGATGAAAATTGCGCTATTGAGTCAGAAAGTGAATAACAAGAGGTGCAGGTTGCACAGGAAGAAAGAAAACAAGAAGTTGAAGTTACACACAACAAAATAGAACTAGAAAAACTGAAATCAAGGAAGCGTACCAAACATCTAGAAAACTGGATTAGTACAAAAAGAGCCAAAGCAACTTTAAGAGATGCAGAGCATATGACAAAATCAGGAAAAAAGATTGTTTCAAAGACAATGAAGTCAGGATGTGCACCGTGCAGAAAAAACTGTACCGAAAACATTCCTGATAGCATTAGACAACAGATCTTTCATGAACACTGGAACGAGGAGAAGGACTGGGACATAAAAAGACAATTTATCTGTTCGCTTGTTGAGTCGACACCCATAGAACGTCGTAGACCTAGAGACAATAGTAAAAGTAGCAAAAAACATACTATAAAATACTTTTTTCAGATACAGCCCGAAAATGCTACTAAAAAAGTTCAAATATGTAAAACTTTTTTTTTAAATACTTTAGGTATCTCAGAAACAGTTGTGCGCAATGCATTAAAGAAACAGACTGTTGGTGGCTTTGTTTCAAGAGATATGAGAGGAAGACATGCGCCGCCTAACAAACTACCTGAGGTAGTTCTTGATGGAGTCAGAGCACATATCAAATCCTTTCCATGATTCAAAAGCCATTATAATCGTGAACACAGTAGCAGACAATATTTAGGCCCAGAATTAAACATAGAAAAGATGTACAAGCTATATTTAGCTAAATGTCAACAAGATCAAGTTCCCAAAGAACACGTAGCTAAGCTTTGGATATACAGAAAGTATTTTGACGCAGAATTTAAATTGGGCTTCAAAAAACCTTGAGCTGATACTTGTGATAAGTGTGACTGGTTTACTGTAAAACTAAAAAATTCTCAAGGAAATGAAATTCCACTTATCCAACAGGAATATGATGATCACCTAAAGGAAGCAGACATGAGATACAAAATTAAGAAGAATGATAAAGAGAAGAGCAGGCTTTTAAAAGACAGCACCAAGGTTATAATGCTAGATTTGCAAAAATGTTTTCCAACCCCATATCTCTCTAATGACCAAAGCTTTTATTATCTTAAGCTTTGGACCTTAAATTTGACAATATATGATTCAACAAACAATTTTTCCTATTGCTTGGCATGGGATGAATCTGAGGCTGGGAGAGGAGGCAACGAAATCGCATCTGCATTGATCAAGTGGGCTGAAAGTACCACTTCTCATACTACCATAGAACATCTAATAATTTGATCGGACAACTGCCCCGGTCAGAATCGTAATATTGTTATGATGCTCACCTGTCTATGGCTATTGAAGATTTGTCCAAATTTGAAGACTGTGGAACACAAATTCTTACTACGACGTCACACACACATGGAGGCGGATCACGTACATGCTCTGATTGAAAGATCATTAAAAAAGCAACCAACTATGGAAATTTGCACACCTTGGGACTGGCAGCAATTAATTAGATCAGCAGGTGCAACTGTCATAAAACTAAATCTTGCTGATTTCAAACATGTGGATTACTTGTACAGTCAACCTAAAGCCCCATTTATTAATAGGAAAAAAATACTCAAAAAGAAGATTTTCCTATATCAAACGTTGTATATTTTCGAATTCAAGCTGATCATGCCAGCACAGTGTTTTACAAGTTAAAGTTTAGCGATGAAGAATTTAAAACCCAGTCCCATTGCCTGTAGAGTTAGTAGACCTGCGCAGTAGCTTAAAAGGAATAACAAAGAAAAAGCACGATTTTCTGATAAAAAGTTTACAGTGGGTTCCTGAGCAGTTCCATCATTTTTATAAAAATATCCCGGTTTGTAAGAAGGATGGCGAAGAAAGTTGCGAAGAGGAAGGGAATGATTAAATTTTTTGTTGGACTGAGCTTTTGATATGAAGTACAAACATGTTTTTCATTATTCAGTGCATTGCCATAGTGTTATAATTAAAAATTGGAAATAGTTTTCTGATATAAGGCATTATTATTACTTAACACCTGTTTTTAGATACATGTAAAAAGCAGTAAGTCCAAAGTCAAAGTACAGGTAGATATTTATAAAATAATACAAATGGGTATTGAAAGAGCTCATATTGTTGACTCAAATACCAAAATAGCATATAACTACAGTTGTGGAACATTTATCAAATTTAAAACTGAGCCAGCATTTCTATCTGCTTTGCACATTTCTGGCCATTCTCTTTTATGGACATACAACTATTTACCTCTCGGGTACAGAATGTACCTATTCCAACTGTGTAATTAGCTTAGGTAAAAATATTTGCCTAGTTTTCATTTTTTTATAATATTTATTCACTCAATGTACAAAGATGACAAACAATATGAGTAAATAAATATAAAATCAAAACAGGCCCAATAGAAGGCATCGCCTGTACATGGACCAATAAATTTAAGTTGAAACTGTAGAATGCAAATGACGAAAAAGGACAAAAATTAGCTACAGTAGATTATGTATTTAGTTTATGTTCGTATTTATGAGTTTATGAATTTCAGTCATAGATATAGAATGTAGCCACTTTTTTAAATTTCTTTTGAAACAATTTCCGAAACGTAAATCTTTTAAGTCTTTAGGTATAATTTCATAAAATTTAGGCGCTAAATAGAGATATGATCGCTGCATTATAGATTTATGCGGTTGAGGAACTACTGTGCCACGAATTTTGTACCTGGTATAATGATTATGTTTAATTTTTTGGTCGGTGTTTACAAATTTATGGTAGTGAGTGATACTGTGTAAGAAATAAAGCTGTCTTATATCATACATTCGAACATCTGCGTATAATTTTTCAGTGGGATAAAGTTTCGCTTTTTTAAATATCATTTTTAGAATACTTTTTTGAAAAACATCTAAATTATAGATATGTGAGGAACATGCAGCTCCCCATGCTAATATACCATTTGTGAGATGAGGCTCAATCAGTGCATGGTATAATGTTCGAAGATATTTTTCTGTCAATATATTCCCAAGGTATTTAATTTTGTAGGATACAAATCTAACTTTCTTTAAAATATAATTGACATGGATGTCCCATCGTAAGTGAGGATCCAAGACCACTCCAAGGTATTTTATGTTGGGCACTCTATTAATTTGCATTTTTTGATCATTAATATTGAAGGAGAAATTTGTGTAATTTGGCAGATGTCTAGCATAAGATCCAAATGGTAAAAAATGTGTTTTAGAGTAGTTAATGCTTAATTTTCTACTGTTAAACCACCGAATAATTTTGATAAAACCATTTTCAATTACATTTTTCAGATCAGACCAGTCAGTGCCTTCATATAATATTGCAGTATCATCTGCAAAACTAGTTATTTTGCCAACACAATTAATTTGGAAAATATCATTTAAATATATATTGAATAACAGCGGATCTAAGACAGTTCCTTGTTGGACACCACAGTTAATATACATTTCTTTACTAAATGATCCTGATATCTGCACAGCTTGTGGGCGATTTGACAAATAACTTTCGATCAGTGAGTACGTGTTTCCTCTGAAACCAATTCTCTCCAATGTTTCTAATAATAATTTGTGATTAACTGTGTCGAAAGCTTTCTTTAAATCAACAAAAATGCAGATTGAAGGGATCCTGTTATCAATATTTTGATGTATTTGATTTACAATTTTAGTTATTGCGTCCGATGTAGCCTTCCCTTCTGTAAATCCATATTGATTTTCACTTAAAATTTTGAATTTTGTGAGGTATCGAATCATTCTAGTAGATAAAACTTTTTCAAAAACCTTTGCTACACTGGATATTATTGATATTGGTCTATAGTTGTTAACATCTGTTTTTGTTCCTGATTTATGTATCGGTATTATATTACCTTTTTTTTTAAAATTGAGGGATATATGCCAGATTCAAAGCATTTGTTGATTAGGTAAGTGAGTGGTTCTGTTATGAATTTTCCGTGCCACCTAATATTAGTCAAAATGGATTTTCTTGATTTATAGCCCATAGATTGAAACTAGTGTTTTTTTTTGTATTAAACACAAATATTAAAAAAGACATGAGGCGGTATGTTAAGTGAATGGATAGTCCTCCTCTGAACTGCGTCATTTAGGGGTAGCGTGTGCAGACAGAGCAGCAGCTCCTCGTACAGGGTGTCTCGCAATAAATTAACATTTCCAACTTTTTTGTATGATCGTTTAGAAAAAAGTTTTATGCAAAGGTGGTTGTAGAGTCTAATGTAAAGCTTTTCGTGCAAGGACTCTCAGAAAAATGATTTTGAATAAAGTTGTATTTTTTTAAATGGAACATCACCCTGCACATTTATAGTGAAAATGATAGTCGTTTTTTCTGATTTCTGATTTGTTTGGTCAAAAAAATTCCTTATGTCGTTTTACAGAGTGTCCTCAAAGTTGGGACTTTCTTTTACAGCGCGTATAGGCCAGCCAATAATAAGCATGTTTTTTAGTAACATAAATACCAAAGCTTCAAGATAACCAAGACCCTGCCACCCTCCCCTTCCATCATCCGCTCCTACGTCAAAACATATGATGTTGTGCTGAGACTATATGAGTCAGTATCCAAATCGGAGGTCACATGGTGTCTAGGTTAACTAAGCTTATAAACATCATTTCAAAACCCTAGAGCAATAACGTAGTTATCGATTTGATATAAGCATCTTTAGGATCCTACTGATACTTCGCGAGTCAACACGGAACGTCGCCGTCATCTTCATGGAATATATTATTTAGATTTGAAAGTATCTTTAAACAATACTTGGAATTTAAAAGAACAAATATCATTTTACCGAATGAAGTGTATAATATCTGTGCTCTGACAAATCTAAGAAATCCAAAAATGTTGAAAACCTGCTATTTATAATTGATATTTTCGAATCAAAATAAAAACCTTGAACCTATCAAAATACCATATTTTCCATTTTGATTATTATACATGGTATCAAGTCTTACGAATTTTGTCTGATTGTCCAGAAGCAGATAATAATGCATCTCCATTCATTAGTAGCAATAAAACAATATTGCCCTCACACACATTCAACGTATTTACATATACAGTGTGCCATGGACGTTGGGATTCGCCTTTTCAGAA